CTTGCCCCCTGAAGTCTGTTCTCAACACAGCAGTCTAACTGACCTCATTCAGACGGCTCAGATCATGCCGCTCTTCTGGTCCACCCAGAACCAAAGTCCTCACAACGGCCTGAGGGACCCTCTATCATCCCTGGACTCCTCCAGCCCCGTGTCTGACTCTGCCCTTCCCTCACTCTGCAAAGGCTACACTGGCTTCCTTGCTATTCCTTGATTTCAGGCGCTCTCCCACCTTGTGGCCCGTGTGCCTGCGATTCCTCTTTCTGGAATGGCCCTTCTTCAAAATCCCCCTGGCTCATTTCTGCACTTCTGAGGCTTTCCCAGACCACTCCATTTAAAACAGCAAACCTGGGACTTCCCTGGTGGCACAGTGGTTAAGACTCCGCGCTCCCAATGCAGGGGACTTGGGTCCAATCCCTGGTCAGGGAACTAGATCTCGCATGCACGCTGCAACTAAGAGTTTGTGTGCCACAACTAAGGAACTGGCGAGCTGCAACTAAGGAGCCTGCCTATCACAACTAAGGAACCCGCCTGCCGCAACTAAGACCTGGTGCAACCAAACAAATAAATAAATAAAAATGGTAAAAAAAAGAACATATTCCTTATAAATAAATAAATAAAACAGTAATCTCCTTCCCTGTCCCCCTGCCTCCCTATCCTCTTTTCTTGTTTTATTTTTCTCCATAGCACCTATCATCTCTAACATGCTTTCTATTTTACTTATTGATTTCCTTTTCTTTCTCCACAAACAAATGACCCTAGAGGACAGATATTTTTGTCTACGTTCTCTGCTGTATCACACAGCAGAGCCTAGAATGGTGTTCAATAAACATAATAAAACCCTGAAATAAGGGGCCCAGAATAATGTAATTTGGATGTAAACTGACTGGCCCAGGGCGTGTTCTCACGTGACTACACGCCTGTCACTTTTACAGGACTGCGTTTTCTGGACCCTGCCTCTGGGCTTCAGGGCTGTGATGGGGGTCGGGGGGTGGGGTGGGCTTACAAGATGCACGCCATCTCCTGGTGCAGGTCCTGCAGGGACTGGAGCAGGCCAGGCAGCATGAGCCGGTGGTGGTGCTGGTGGTGTAGCTGCGCGGCCCGCACGCCCAGCACATAGCGGTTGTGGTGAGCGAAGAGCTTCCACAAGCTGCGCACGTACTTGTCCTTGGCTTTGTCACGGTCTTTGTCTGCCAGGTTGGGGGAAAGAGGCGTGGGTGACAGCACAGAGGCCTGGGTAGCAACCCCCTCCCCGGGTACCTGTGGACAGTTCTGGGCTGGCTTGGGATTCCCATCCTGGCAGCAAGGGAAGCCCCGGACCTTTGCTGGCCTCCTGGTACTTGCGTCGGGCCTGGGCACTGTCCCGTGCCAGGGCTCGGTACTGGCTCTTCAGCTTCTCAATGTCCTGGCTGTGGGTCTGGAGAGAGGAGAGACCAGTGTGGGACAGCAGGTCCCCAGAGGATTCCTGCCCGAGGTGAAGCCCTGGACAGGTTCTGCAGTCCAGGCGGGCAGCACATCCAAATTCATCCTTCAGGAAGGGCCTGGAGACCTCTGGGACTTAGCCATTGCTGCTGAGGTTAAGGTTAGAGGAGCCGGGCTAAGGACAGGCCCCCGGGGGCAGCAGAGAGCCAGACTGGGCAGGCGACAACTGTCCTTCCTTGGCCTAGAGTGGTATCTGGTGGCAACTAAGGTCCAGCGGCAGGCGTGTGTGCTTGGTTTAACACTCTGTCGATGCCATCTTGAAATTCGTAATAATTTTTTGACAAGGGGCCCCGCGTTTTCATTTTGCACTGGGTCCCACAATTATGTTGCTGGTGGTCAAGACCGGAGTTCTCATCCCAGTTGCCTGCTTCTGCACTGGGGTACTTAGGGCAAACTCCACTCCTCTCCTCAGAACCTCAGCTTCCCCATCTGTAACAGAGCTAAATGCACAGACTAGATCAGCCCTTTTCTTAAGGTCCAGGTGGTAAACATTTTAGGCTTGTAGGCCATGCAGTCTCTGTTGAACTTGCTGGGCTCTGCCACTGTAGCTCTTTAGTAGCCACAGATAATATGAAAACATATGGGCAAGTCTGTGTTCCAGTAAAACTGCCTGCAAAAGCAGGCTGACCCCTGAATTATATGATCGATCGTCTGGGAAGAGAGGAGTGCGTGAAGGCTGGCCACCAGGGGCCGCTGTGGGTCTGCAGCAAGGCTGGGTTTGCGCTGGTAGAAGGGGTGTGGTGCAGGCGGCTGCCCAGCACATTGAATAAGAAGGCTAAAGCCTCCGCGTAAATAGCTCCAATCAAACAACCTCTAGTCAGAGGAGCTGCGCAGGATTCAAATGAAGGCAGACCCACTTCACAGCCCCAGTCCTTAACCTCCGAGTCAGGGGGCCACACTGCTGCCTTGTGGAGTCTCTGGGTCCCTGGGAGGAGCCAGCCTGGGCCAAGGGCGGGCAGAGCAGCCCTCATTCCTCTCACTGTCTCTCGGACCCGAGGGCCAGCTGGTGCAGTGCAGGAGGTGGGTCACAGGTCCTGCGCTCCTCCCAAGCAATGGCTGGATCACTCATCCTTGTATTCCCAGCACTCTGCTCAGGTACACAGTAGGGTGACAGAAAAGGCGTGGAGAGGCCCTGCTGCAGCCCGGCCCAAGCTATGGCGGGGAGGGGAGGGAGGGGAGGAAGGGGAGGAAGCTGGGCTGGAGCAGGTGCTGGGGGGTGGGCCTGTGGTCAGATACTTACACTTCTTCAGTGAGTCCAGGGGTTCCTTGCAAAACCAGCCCTTTCAGCTCAAAATGTAGGCAGAAATGACCAGGTGAAGCCCGGGTGCCACCCACCCACCTACCTTGGTGAGCTCCTGCTGGAGCTGCTGCCACTGCTCGTTGTAAGTCTTGCGCATGTGCTGCCGCTCCCGGATCAACAGGCTCAGCTTGCTCAGCGGCCCTGAGTTCAGATCTTCTGCGTGCTGCCTCAGCAACCGGCTCAGGCCCTCCGTCTGGCTGGTGATCTCTGCCCAGGACTACAGCATGGGGTGGGCAAGGCAGGGAGTGGGGGACAGTGGCTCCCACGCCTGGGCCTGCCCAATCACCAACCCTCCCCAGTGGGCTCCGGAAAAGAAAGGGGCAGGCAGATCTACCCGGCACCCCCAGGACTTCGTTGGTCGAGGGCGGGAAGGGTGGTGAGGAGGCCTAGGGCCCTGTAGAATCCCACCTGACTGATGGGGCTCTGGGGGCTGATGCCCCGGCTCTGGCCCCCGCTGTCCTGCAGTGACATGTGGTGCAGCAGCCCAGCATATTCTCTGTCACTCTTGACCCGCTGGGCCATCCACTTCCTCATGCCCTCCAGCAGCCGAAGCTCGGCCTCCTGCATCTGCTGCACTGCCCCGTGGCCCTGGGGACTGCACAGCTCCGAAGAGAAGCCCATAGTGCGGTCCTGGGGACCAAGAGAGGAGAGGCCACCACTGGGGGCAAGGCAGAAGCTGGAGACGGGCAGGCAGGACAGGGAAGCTAGGGGCTGCCGGGCCAGGAGGAGCCGCAGACAGGCAGGAGGTGGGGGGCTGTCCCGCTGAAATGCAGCCATGGGTACAGAACACGGCCTGGCCTGGGAAAGCCCTCATTGCTTCCTGTGTCCCAGGTCGAGGCCTGGTGCCAGGGGTCTCCTTCCCAGCCCTGGAACAGAAACCTCCCGGAGCCTCCCTCCCTGGGCCCTTCCACCCAGCACCCGCTGCAGGGGCAAGGTGCGCACAAGACTGCCCCTGCCGGCGCCCCAGGCAGCCGCCGCCCCGGACCCTGCCCTTCCGCGGCCCCTGCCCTACCTGGTCCCGTGTCCCGCTCTATGATCGCCTGCCGGGCCTCTGCCCACTGCCTGCTGACCCCGCTCCCCGTGCCCGCCGCCGCTGCCTCCTGGGCCTCGGGGCAGGAGTTACCCGCGTGGGCAGCTGATCCTGGGGCCGCCGAGGACCGACTCAGACTCAGGCCCGCACCACCCGGGGCCAGTTCCTGATTCCGCGTTTCCTCCTCCTGCGGTTTCAGTTGGCCCCGGCCCCGGGGCGGGCCGGCTGAGGGGAAGGGGCGGGCGGGAGCCCCCGACGCCTGCCCGCCCCTCTGCCCAGTGCAGGCCGCTGCCTCAGCCGGCCACACGGCCACGGAAACGGAAGGGAGGAGGGGGCTGGGAAAGAATGGCCCAGAAGAGAGCAGCCTGCGCCCGGCACTCCCCAGGGCCCGGACAGCGCCCGGGAACACGGGGAACGGCCCAAGGGGGCGGTGGTGGGCGCCTGCCACTGGGCTGGGCTGCAGGATCGCGTCGGGCCGGGGAGTCTGGGGGTCCAGAGCCTGGGGGCGGGCGGGCGGTCCGAGCAGCAGGCCAGGGCGGCCCCAGAAGAGGAAGGGGGAAGCCTAGTCCAGGCCTTCCCCACCCCACTGGATTCCCCAAGGAGAGCTCAGGCGCCAGCCTCCATTTGAATAAAATTTCCAAGTAAATATCCCGAGGAGAGGCCTGCTTCTCAGGCACAGATCCTGGTGGAACTGGCACCGCTCCTCCACCCCCAGGCAGGGGCTTCCTGTCCCAAGGGAGACCTGTGGCAGGCGAGGGGCCTGGGCTGGGGAGTGGAGAGGTATGGTGTTCCCAGTGTGGGACTCAGGATCTCCCCAGCAAAAACCATCTTGGTCCAGTTAGGCCCCACCGAAGGCCTCAGCCCTACAGCTGGCGGCCGGGCTACTTCAGCCAAGGGAGACCCTGAGCAACTGGACACAGGCCATCACTCTCCACCCTGCTGGAGTCCAGGCCTGTGGGGGTGGAGGTGCTCAGCTAGTCCCACCCCTGGGGCTTGGGGCTTGTCTCCAGCTGCTGTCCCTTCCACACCCCACCTAAAGAAGGCTCTGAACGCCTCGGGAGGTGGGCTTTGGGCACTTACAGGTAGGCAGGACATCATGTGGGCATGTAACTCGCCCCAGCCCTCACCCGCACCCCATCCTGGACGCAGCCCCAGGTCCTGGGAAGAACATCACCACACTGGAGACCAGGCCTGGTTTGCATAGTCTGCACGTTTAATCACTTTAAAACCTCTAACATTACCTTGTGTCCATTAAATAGAACCAACAATGCTGGGCCTGTTTAAATTACAAGAAAAAAACAAAAATCACTGTGCACCAACCCAGTATCTTACAAAACCAGCTGGGCTGGCCACAAGGGTGGGGGGGATGGGAGAGGCGGGGGTGCCCCTGGGCAGGTGGCTGGGTGTCAGGAGGGGCTAGGGGAGAGAAAGAAAAGGGGGCTCCCAAACGGGAGGGGACTGATTGTCCTAATGGGAGGGGTACAAAAGGCACGTCAGAAGAGGGGGCCTTGGGGGGCAGGACAGGTCAGTGCTTTCTCCACCAGGGCACAGTGTTGGAGGGGGCTCAGTGCCACTGCCTGCCCACCCCTGGCACTTGGAGAACCACTGACCCATGAGCCCTTGGCGCGAGGAGCCCCATCTGAAATGGACGACAGCCTGCCCCTTCTATCGTACTCCTCCTTTCCTAGGGCCCGCCTGGCCTGGCCTGTCTCTTCAGGACCTGGGGCTCAGCTACTCCTCAGCAACACGCTGCAGACCCCCACACCTCAGGGCCAGGGCAGCCGGGGGGAACAGCAGGGTGGACAGTGGGTGTGGGAAGGTGGATGGTCCAGCTGCTACCCCCATTAAAAATACCAAAAAAAAAAAAAAAAAATCAGCATCTAAAGTGAAATAATCACAAAGTGAAAATATATCCTCAAACAGCCCCTGAGATCCCCACAGGGGAAAGCAGCATCGGGTGGGAGGCGGGAGAGGCCGGCTGGGCCACCGTCCCTCTCCACCACCCACCCAGGGGCTCCGGGACTGTGAGTGCCAACAGCCCAGGCAGCCCCGGGCTCAGAAAACAGGGACTTGGGCCCTGGCAGGAGGAGAGGGTGCCAGAGAGGGGAGGGTGGTCAGCACACCAGCACGGGGCCGGGCCAGCCTCGCTCAGCAGGCAGCCAGCTGTAGTGGAGGTGGGCAAAGGGACACACACGTGTGCACCCTGGAAGTGCCTGCCTTGCCTTGGTCCCTTCCTTCGCTTACTGCTTCCGCCCGAGGCTCACCAGAGGTGGGGGACGGGGTCAGGGATGCAAAAGCCCTTAGAGAGGTGGCCTCCTCCTTCAAATACCCCCTAGGCCAGCCTCCCTGCTGCCTGGATGGGGACCATTATTGCTTTAGAGGGACAGGGAAGGGGCGAGAACTGCAGCCCGGGTCAGGAATCCCATAAGGGAAGGGCTGCCCCTCTTCACTCCGCAGGGAACTCTGGCTGGGGCCTGGACCTTGGAAAGCTGCCCTAAAGGTTTCACTCCTTTCTCCACACGCAGGCGTGCTGGGGGTGGGCAGAGGCCCTCCCCTGCTCCCCAGCTGGTCCTGGGGTTCCACCTCAGGCAGCCGGGGAGCCCAAGGGTAGGGTGGGAAGCCGTCTCTGCCTCTCTTGCCTCCCAGCTGGGGTCCAAACCCAGTCCCAAGATAAAAAAATACTTTGGTGAATTAAAAAGTGCCCCAGGAGGGGATGGGCTCGAAGGGGCGGGCAGTAGGCGCTCGTCAAAGGGCGCTCTGGTCTTTGATAAAGGCGGTCCTCTCGCCCCGGCCCTCGTCCTCTTCTGAGTCGGATGGGCACTCCTCCTGCCAGGCTTCGGGGGGCAGCCCCTTGTAGGAGATGAGGCCACGGTCCATGGTGTACACCTTCACCCCTCGGAAGCTGAAGCCCGAGCGCAGCTGCAGGACCAGGAAGACAGTGACGAAGACCAGCACGATGAAGGCGCAGCTGAGGCCGGCCACCACCTCGGGCAGGTGTGAGGGCAGCAGCCCCTCCCGCAGCCGCGGCTCTGCCTCCACCTCCGTGGGCGGCGGCTGCTGCGGCTGCGGCGACTCACGGCTGCTCTGGCTTTGCCGGGAGCACGTCTGCTCCACAGGGTCCAGGGAGGCGTGGCTGGGGCAGCTGAGGCAGTCTGTGGGGGCTGGCCCCTGGCACGTGGCACACGAGGCGTGGCAGGGGGCACAGACGCTGGCCCGGATGATCTCCACGTTGTTCTCGGTGCTGTAGTGCGTGTCGAGGACTTGGGGAGCGAAGCCTGGAGGGCAGCGCTGGACACAGCTCTTCTGGTGCAGGGAGAAGCCTTCCTCGCACACTGCCGGCACGGGGCAGAAGGTGGGTGTCAGCCAAGCCGCCCATGGCTGTTGGGCCCTGAGCCCCACGACAGTGGCAGCCTGTGGACCTGCAGCCCCAGGCAGTCACCGCTGTCCCCAGGAGCTCCCACCCGCCCCAGGACTGTGGTGACCCTGGGGTCCCAGCATCCCTTCACACCCCTTTTCCTCCTTTAGGACAGGCACCCTCTGTCCCCAGCCTCAGGTTCCCAAGCCCTTGCAGCACCCACGACTGACCCACACAGGCCTGGCTGGACGTGAGGGTCTTGCAGCCGATGCTCTCAGGAGGTGTGGGCAGCCCCTCGGGGGCCGTGCCGTACAGCACGAGGGTGAACTTGGTCAGTGTCCCTAATTGAGGGGGGAAGCAAAAGTCAGAAGCCACGCCTGGCACCCCAGACTCCGCCAGCGCCCCTCCTCCATCCCCAGCCCTCGAGCACCCCCAATACCATAGTTATTTGCTTCACTGGTGTTTTCTATCTCCAGGACCCACTCGCCAGAGGGGTCCTCGTCCCAGGAATGGGTCGTCATGAAGGCCCAGTCGTTAAACCCGTCTGCAGAGTAGTCGTGCGGCCTGGGGAGGAAGGTGCACATAGCTGCCTGAGGCCTCTGGCAGACCCCAGCCAGGGGACACCGAGCCCACAGCACATGGACCACACCCCCTCCCCCCAGTGCAGCAGAACCCCGCTGGGCTGGAAATGCCTGCTGGGTGTTTCCCAGGAGGCCAAATGTTCTCAACCAGAAGATTCTGGAAATGTGCAAGGTACTACACATGGGAAGGCACACAGACATGGCATTTAATGGGCAGAATCAGGGATTCCTGCAACATGGGACAGTCTCATAGGACAAAAACCATCCTTCCCAAAATGCCAACAGTGGAAAAGTATTTGGTGCCCTTCAGGGCTGTGTGAGTGAATGAATGAATGCACGTGGATGTGAGGGACAGGACAAGCTGGACAGAGGAGAGGGCAAGCACCTGGCGGCCAGCAGGGTGGAGCGGGTGCCCATGGGGCTGACCAGGTGGATGGCCAGGTCACCGCGGCGGTTGTAGGACAGGGTGAGCCGCGCCTGAGTGTGTTCCAGCCGCGTGATGTGGCTGGGCTCCCCCACGCAGGCGGTCACAGTCTTCCGCACCTCCAGCCGCTTCCCGATGTCCCTGCGCAGAGAGCACCGTGATGGTCTATCAGCCTGGCCCAGGGGGACCAGCGGGCACCCCTGCGCCCCTCAGGTCCCACCTGCCCCCTCCCAGCCAGGGTCCAGCCCTCACTTGGGCTCAGTGAGGATGTCGATGGTGCACTTCCGCTGGGGGGTCACCGTCGTCCAGTTCTGGGCCAGAGCCACCATGGCACCTGCGTCCAGTAACCCGTAGCCATACGAATGGCTCACTGTGGGGCAGGGAAGGCGGGGTCAGCTGGGAGGCACACAGGGCCCCCGCAACCCCCAATCCAGCCCTGTCCTCACCTTTGCGGCCCACACCATTGGTGGCCCAGTCGTTAGCATTGAGGTGGGCTGGCTTTGAGGTCTGTACCACCAGGTGCTGCATGTCCCGCCAGGTGAGGTTCTTACTGCAGAGGAGGGACGGAGAGGCTTGGGGGCTGTCTCTTCGGAGAGAAGCTGGAGACCAAGGCCTGCCTTGCAGGGGGCGCTGGTGGGGACAGGGTTGCGCCTCAGCCCCCACACACTTACTTGGCCTCCAGGGTGAGAGCGATGATGCCCGCTGCCAAGGGGGCAGAGGCAGAGGTGCCTGTGTGAGACTCCGTACACTTCTGCCGCAGATCAGTGGTCACCTACCAGGAGGACAATGATGTTGGGCCTGTAATGCGGGGAGGGCACCAGAGGGGGGCCACCTGCCTGCCCTCCCTCTGTCCACAGGCCCTAAGCACCATAAACAGGAGTGGGGAGCCAGGGCCAAGAAACCTTGGTCCCACCTGCTGCCTTGCTAACTTGCTGTAGACAGGCCGATGCCTGGCCCTTTCCTGAGGAATGAGAGGATTGAACTAAAGGTTGGCGATCATTAAGAGCAATCCATATTTTTAAGGAGAGTCTTCTCAGAGGCTTCACCGATGGCTCCACAGTCCCCAGGAGTCTTGGAGAGCTCCCTAGCCCCCATCCCATGATGCTTTAGCCACCACCACCCAGCCACGTGCGGGTGGAAGGCAGATGGGGTCGGAAAGGGGGCCCCAGACAGAGCCAGCAAGCAGCCCCGTTTCCCCAGCCGCCACCCGGGGCAGGACTCACGATCTGCTTCTCGTTCTGGTTTCCACTGCTGTAGGTTGTGGCCAGCGTGGACGAGCAGGCCTCACTGTACCAGGGCACGTTGCCGGACTGCGTGGCGCTGCTGATGGACAGCGTGTAGATGCTGTTGGTGTAGCCGTCGCAGTTGCAGCTGTCATGTTCCCGGCCCCCATTCCCAGAGGCCCAGACAAAGATGGAGCCCAGCCCCCCGCGGCCCTGTGGACAGAGTGGGCTGGGGTCACTCGAGAACAGGACTTGGGGGAGGCCTGGCAGGAGGATGCTGCTTGAGACTGAGAAGGATGGAGCCTCCTTCTCCGGGGACTCTCTATCCAGCCTCTGTTCCCCTGGGAGACCCCTGGTGGATCTCAACCTTTTTTGCACAAAAAAAAGAGACCCAGACCACCAACCAAAATCCTCTGAGTGGTGATTCCAAAGGGTGGAATTATGGGTAATTAGTATTTACTTTTCTCTTTTTCTGTCTTTCTAGTTCCTTAACATTTTAATAACATTTAATAAACAAACTTTGTGTAAATTAAAATTAAACACAAGAATAAATAAATAGGAACAGAAAAAAACAAAGAAGTATGGAAAAGGTAGCGCCTAGTTTGCCCCCAGAGGCTGGGCCTGGTTTCTAGGGTGGGGCCAGGACCCCCACCTCACCTGGCTGACCCCCCGGAAGAAGGCCTCCTCAGCAAGGCGGGCTGGCCCATCCACGGTCTTGCCGTCGTCCTCGGGGCCCCAACTGGCGCTGTAGATGTGGATGTGGTTGGGATTCAGGCCCAGCGAGCGTGCCTCTACTGCATCTGTCACTTCACCGTCCAGCATGCGCACCCCTGGTCGTGGAGGGGGGCGGGGAGAGGGATGCTGCGTGGGTCCAGCTGCCAGGAGCACTCCCTGGAGCACACCCAGCCTTGCACCCAGAGGATGGGCAGGGGAGGGCAGAGGACGGTGCTGGGAAACCCTGAGCCCCTAACTCCCTGGCCAGCCTCTGCCTTTCGAAGACAAGACGCAGGGGAAAAGGGGAGAGCTCCCTGGGCCCCAACTACACATTCTGGACTAGGATGAGTCTCTGGGGTCCCAAAAGAGCATGGTGATCAAGGCCTGCCATGTAAGGACTCGGAGTGGACAGTGAGGAGTTAGGGAGACTCCTGCTAAGAAACACTCCCTCCACCCCACAGCACAGGGCCACCAGCACAGGGGGTTCAGCTTTTTGAGTTACTAAGAACTCTCTAAAGAAGAGCCGTGCAGTCAAAAGGATCCACAGCAGGAAAGTGGCAGACACTGGCTAGATGGGAAGTGAACAGAGAAGAATCCCACTGGAAGGGTCATCCCAAAGACCGGGTGGCCAAGGCCTACACCCACCTCCAATACGGGCATTGTAGGCCACGCCTACGCCACAGACACCGTTGTTGGCCACTGCGGCCACCTCGCCTGCACACCGTGTGCCATGCCTGCCGGGGCCAAGAGCACAGCATTAACAGTGGACAGAGCGTGGTGGGTGCAGCCTGAGGAGCAGGAAGGGCCACATGCACGCCCCTCTACCTTTGCTGTCCCACATCTGTACACAGACCACACCCCCCCACTCCTCTTGGCCTATGGCCACCTCCACTCAGACCGAACCTTCCCTCAGAGCCCCAGCTAGACCAGGACTATGGAAAAGCCTTCAGCCTCTCAGGAAGGGCACATCTGCCTCCTCAGCGGAAAACAGAAGGGAAGCAAATTATTACCTGTTGTCATTCATCTGCGTGTACCGAGGCTGGGGGTCAGGGTCCTGGTCATTGACATCGAAGCTGGCCCCAGGATCCTGGAAAGGACATGGCCATCATCAGGGTCAGCCTGAACACACCAGCAGAACAGGACCATCCCTGGACTCCCCTCGCCAGGGATGGCTACCTCCCTCCCCGACCTCCTCACATAATTGCCTGCCAAGTCCGGGTGGTTCTTCTCGATGCCATCGTCCAGAATGGAGACCACGATGCCACGCCCCGTGTAGCCCTGGGCCCAGGCCTCCTTCACGTTCAGGTCCCGCTGGGTGACACCAGACTGCAGAGACACCCACCCCCATCACCCAGCACTTACGAGATGTGGTTGCTGGGTGAGGTTACTGGAACCTTGGAGAATCCCTTTGCCACCCCCAAAAGCTCCTTCTCCACCTGCCCCTACTCCTCAAATGCCACCACTGATTGTCTGGGCTCATGGAATTATAAAGAACTCTGGGAGGGTGCTCCCCAGGGCTCAGCAGGATGGGCTGGAGAAAGATTACTCAGCAGACAGAGGAAGACTGACAGGAGGCCTTGAAGTCAGCCTCACCCGCTCACGGGACCCCTCAGTGGATGGATGGATGCAGCCAGGGAGGCAACGTACCAGGTACCACTGCTGGGGAAACTTGGGGTCCGTGGGCTCCTGGTACACGTCCCGTTTGGTCCGTCGCTTTGCCACCTGCTGCTCCAGCCACTGTACCTGTGAGGGAGTGAGGGAGAGATGGTGTGGCTGGAGGAACGGGGAGGGAGAGCGAGGCATCCTGAGAACTGAAAGGGAAGGGTGGCAGCAGGAGGGGCTGGGGCCGCACTCACTTGAGGTTCCCGCTGCAGCCGGCTGTGCCGCGGGCGGTGAGGTGACAGGGACCGCTTTGTCACCGCTCGATGCCAGAAGTGGTAATAGTCGCCGAAGATCTGCAACAGAGCAGGGAGACTGAGCCGGGCTTTCCATCTGCCAGTCCCCATGGAGGCGGGGGATGGGGGTGGACAACCGGCTGCAAGGGGAGGCTCACCACGGCAGGGGGTGATGGGCATCTGCTCCCCGCCCAGGACCCCGCAAGGAGGTGCAGGGGGCCGAGGGGGACTCACCCCCCTGGGATACACTGGTCCACTGAGCAACCTAGGCTAGAAGCCAAGGGCAGGACAAGCCACCCATAACATGCCTACTACCCAGATGCCCCTGAGAAGACAAGCCCCAGAGTTCCTGCTCTGGGTGCTGGAACCCCTGCCCTCATTGGCCCCACCCCCTGGCGATGTCCTATGCCTCGGCCAGCAGGAGGGAAGAACACCTACCTGGCCCAGGTTGAGGAAGCCATGCTTGCGTGCCACACTGTCAGCCACGGCTGGGCCTCCAGGAATGCGCACGGCCCAGGTATTGGTGAAGACCTTCTGGCCACGGGCATCGGCCGCCAGCAGGACCAAGGCTCCTGCTGCTGCTACCACCCATAGCAACCAGGGCCTCAGCTCCATGGGGGGGACAGGTGGCCGGGACCGCGGAGCCCCCGTCTCCTTGGCCTGGTCACAGGGCCTCGGCTCCCGCGTGCCTGCTCACTGCCTGTGGCCCGGGGCTGACTGGCGGGGGCATGGGACCAAGACGGGCGGGACTGCGCGGGGAGGATCAGGGCTGCCGGCTCTGAGAGGAACAAGGGAGGAGAAGAGGGAGAGTCAGTCGATCCCCAGCCACGCACTAAAGCTGCCTTCCCACCCCACGGCTCACTCCAGGCCTGAAAGGGGCTCTGGCAGGGAGGGGTGAAAATCCAGGCCCCCAAGGTGAGCCGGATAGATGGACAGAAGGACCGCCTCCACACGCAAGAATACGAAGTGGGATGAAGAGGACCAAGGCTTGAGTCCCTCAAAATAAGAAGGAACAACTGAATAAATACTTGCCAGAATTAAAGTCAAAAAGGTGGGTTAGGGACTTCCCTGGTGGCGCAGTGTTAAGAATCCGCCTGCCAATGCAGGGGACACGGGTTCGAGCCCTGGTCTGGGAAGATGCCGCGGAGCAACTAAACCCGTGTGCCACAACTACTGAGCCTGTGCTCTAGAGCCCGCGAACCATAACTACTGAGCCCGCGTGTCACAACTACTGCAGCCCATGTGCCTAGAGCCCGTGCTCTGCAACAAGAGAAGCCACCGCAATGAGAATCCCGCACACCGCAACGAAGAGTAGCCCCTGCTCGCCGCAACTAGAGAAAGCCCGTGCGCAGCAACAAAGACCCAATGCAGCCAAATATAAATTAATTAATTATTATTATTATTATTTTTAAAAGGTGGGTTATAGGGACTTCCCTGGTGGCACAGTGGTTGAGAGTCCGCCTGCCGATGCAGAGGACACGGGTTCGTGCGCCGGTCCGGGAAGATCCCACATGCCGTGGAGTGGCTGGGCCTGTGAGCCATGGCTGCTGAGGCTGTGCATCTGGAGCCTGTGCTCCGCAACGGGAGCGGCCACAACAGTGAGAGGCCCGCGTACCGCAAAAAAAAAAAAAAGAACCCTCCTGCCACTGCAGGGGACAGGGGTTTGAGCCCTCGTCAGGTAAGATCCCACATGCCGCAGAGCAACTAAGCCCGTGGGCCACAACTACTGAGCCCTTGTGCCACAACTACTGAAGCTTGCACTCCTAGAGCCCAGGTTCCACAACAAGAGAAGCCACCGTAATGAGAAGCCCTCGCACCACAACGAAGAGGAGCCCCCGCTCGCCACAACTAGAGAAAGCCCGCGCACAGCAATGAAGACCCAACGCAGGCAAAAATTAATTAATTATTTTTTTTAAAAGTGGGTTATAAAGCAGTAGGTACCTATAATCCCGTTTTGTTTTTAAAAAACTATTTATACATGTATATTTATATAAAACCATAAAACATAATCTGGAAGGACACATGCTAACAATGGTTCTCTCAAGGTGGTGAGAATTATGAGTAATTGTTATTTTCTTTTGTGTCATGTATATTTTCCAAATTACCCAGGTATATTTTACAAAGGAATAAAATGTTGGCTTTTTAAAGTTTTTTAATGGGCGGTGTCTACACAGCTCACTAGGGCTTCCTAGTTCAGCAAAGGAGAACCAGCCATAGGGAGTTACCTGCAAAGACCCACAGCCCCTGGCAAGAAAGAGTGGGTAACCTAAGGTGGGATGGGGGCTTTGGGGGCTGAGCACGGGAAGGGGGGATCGCAGTGGCTTCACCCTCCCTCTTTGGCCCAGACCATCAGCAAAGTCAGGGGCTCAGGCTCTTTTTTTATACAGTTTCCTGGGAAACGCTGGGGCCACCCAGCCCTGGCCTGCAGGCCTCCAGCAGCCCCCTCGGTCGCTCCACACCCACCAGCCTTGCGTAATCTGAGCCCCGGCAGCCAGGGCAAACACTAGCTGCTGAGCCAGGAGCGCCAAGGTGAAGCTGAATCAATAGTCCGAGTGTTGTTTTTCCTCCTTCAGCAAACAGACAGCAGGACCTCTCTGCCTGGGGCCACATAACTGTCCCCACATAGGGCCCCTGGCTAGCCAGAAGCCAAGCCCCTGGGGTGGGGAGAAGCTGGGGAAGGTCCCCGTGGGGCTGCCGGAGGTGTCCCGCCTCAGTGCCAAGCTTGTTGAGCAGAGCGCCTGCCTACACGGCCCCGGATTCCCCCACCACTCCCAGGGCCCAGCCCCAAAGGAGGCCACTCTGCTGGACGGCAAAATGAAGCTCCGCATCTCACCCGGGCCCCGGAGAGCTGGACAGGCGGGCTCACCACTGGGAACACTCCTTTTCCAGAGATTGCCCTCAGCCACAGTCAGCCTCCCTGTCTGCTCCTGCTGCAGTCCCACCCTGCAGGCTGGAGAGACTCAACACACAATTCCTGGAGTATTTTCAGTTTACACCAAAATAACCTGACAGCTGATGGCAGGAGGCATCCACAATGCAGCTCCTCCTCACCCTGGATGGGCAGAGTCCATAGGGTTCCCGGACAGGCCTGGAAGCCACAGCCCCATGATGCCTCGGGCGACCAAGTTCCGGAAAGCTGGTCTGAGCAATGGCTGGACAGCCAGACATTCAGCCCTAGGGGGTGAAGGAAACCCAAGCCCCTCATTTAACAGAGGATGTGGAGCCCTAGGGGCTGAGCCAGATAGAAACAGGCCCTCTTCTCCCCTTCTTGCCACAAGAGCAGCCTCTTGGGTCCAGATGTCAAGAAAGACCATCTCCTGACCACAGTGCTGTGAGCCGTACTGGAACTCCCAAATCAAGACTGGGTTCATCTGCGTCCAGCCCAAGTTCCGGGACATTGTGGATGGAGCTGCAGCTGCTTGGTGGTAAAGGTGATTATTTAATTACCTTGCAGCACCCAAAAAGAAAGCGGGCTTCAGGCACAACCAAACAATTCCCCAAGAAAGGACCAGGCTTCATCTGCTCAGCATCCCCAGCCACGGTGAGCCGTAGATATGGCTTCCACAGAGCCTGAAGCCTCCAGACAGCCCTGCCTCAGCATCCTGGAGGGCGGGAGGGTGGGAGGGAGGGAGGGAGAGAGGGAGGGAAGGAGGGAGGACCCCCTTCCAAAAGAGCAGGCACTGAGAACAATGAATGAATGGGCTTCTCCCCACCCCCATCCCAGGCTCTGACTCACCCTCTGAGTCCCAGTTCGGCTCAAACCCGGAGGCTTGCTGTATTTCCAGCCTCCTGTGAGGCCCTCTCACATGGGAGTCAGCTCCAGGCTGTGGCCACAGAGAGACCTGTGGGTGCTCTTTGTGGCTGTGTTCTAGGTCAAAGCCCTTTTCTCCAGTCCCAGGAACCTCCTGACACAGACACCCACTCCGAGGCACCCAAACTGAACCTCCCCCAGGTCCAGCTGCTGTTTCCCAGGCACTGGGGGTCTGGCGTGGACAGGGCTGCCTGGGAAACCTGGTCCCGTCTCTCTTTCCAGCAAAGAGACACCAAGCCAGGTCCTGTAACAGGCACTGAAGGCTGTGCTGAAATTCTGAATTCCAATCTTTACTCATTTTCTGTGTGATCTTAAGTCACTTCCTCTCTCTAGGCCTCAGTTTCCTAGATGGTAAAAACTGCTAGACCAGAGGTTTTCAAACTTTTTTTTAAAGCCACAGAATCTTTAAAAAATCAAATCTTATGTGGAAGCCCAATATAGGAAATCGTAAAACTTCGGCCACTGTGGTTGAGACGGGTCAGGCTTGGTTACTCTCCTATGCTGTGCCCACACCTGGCCAGCAGCTGCCCAGCCCTCACTAGGCCACATCACCTGGGTTCCCCTCCCACTTCCCAAGTCAGAAAGAATTCTGACACCCTCCGGTGGAGGAGAGTCTGCACCCCCAGGGGCAAGGGTCTAGAGGATGGCGGGGAGAGCAGGTACTGACCTGACAAGTGACTGCTGTAAGACCTGTCTGGCAAGCAGGCCGCCCCTCAGTCCAGCCACCCCACGGGGGCAGCAGGGGTCTCGGCCAGGCCTCCGCGGGAGGCAGCCCCGGAACCTACCTGAGCCAGCCTCCCAGCGCCCGCGGATCCCGCACCTGAGTGTCTCGCCGCTCAGGTGTGCAGGCGGGGACGAGGCCCGGGCGGTGAATAATCCCCTCCGCCTCGCGAACAGCAGCTCCTCCCCTCCCCCGGCGGGAGCGCAGGCCCTCCCCAGCCGCGGAGTGGGCGAGCCGGCGGCGGCCCCCGAAGGACGGCCCGGAGGCGGGAGCACCCGGCGCCTCTGGAATTCTCTCGCCATCCCGCCCCCAGCGGGGGCCCCGCTGGCGCTTCCTGAGGTCAGAGGGCTCGCCCCGGCCCCAAGCGGAAAAGTACCGGCACCTACAAGGGCTGGGAGCCAAGCCGGGCCCGACGCTCTCAGGTGGGCTGCGGGGCGCCCTTCCTGCTCCCCGCGGCTTCACCCTCGGGGCCGGCCCGGGGGCCAGTTTCGAAAGCCGGGCGGGCAGCCGGGCCCGGGCTGCCTCCGCGCCAGCGACCCCGACCCTCCCCCGCCTGCGCGCCCGGGCCGCGGAGCCAGCTCCTCCGGCAGAGCGGCCCAGTCCGGCCGGCTCTCCTCGGGCCCGGCTCCCGGCGCGCTGCCTCCACCGGGCCCCGCGCCCTCGCCGCTTACCCTAGGGAGCCCGGGCGGGGAAACTTTTCCAGGCGAGCGCCGCGGCGGCTCGGGCGCCCCTCGGCCGAGCGGAGAGCCCGGCGGCGGGGCCTGGGCTCGACGCGGTCCCCGCGCCCGGCAGCAGCGTCACCGCGCGGAGGCGGGGAGGAACGGCGGCGCGGCCTCGGCCGGGCCGGCGACCAGGACAGGGCTCGGCCTCGGCCTCGGCCTCGGCTCCGACGCGGGCGGGGGCAGCGGCCGGGCCGCGGCGGCGGCGCGGCTTGTTTACTCGGGCCGCTGTCAGCGGCTGCGGCGGCCCGGGCTCCTCCTCCTCCTCCGCCGCGCCCCCTCCCCCTCGCGGCGCCACCTCCGCGCTCCCCAGCAGCCGCCGCAGCCGTCCCGCCGCCCTGGCCCGCCGCGCCGCCCATGCCGCCCGGCCCCGGGCCCGCGTTCGGGGCCGGAGCGCCGCAGCCCCCGAGCTCCGGGCTCCGAGCGGCGGCCTTGCGGCCTTCCGGGGCGCCCACTGCCTCTGGCTCCCGGTCGGGGCAGGTAGGAAGTGGGGCCAGCGATCCCAAAGCCCTCGCGGCCGCCCGGCGCGTCGCCCAGGCTCCACTGCCCGCAGCCCCGCCCCGGGCTCGGCTCTTCGCGCCGCGAGCTCCCCGGGCCGGCGGCCGCGGAGACCCGAACTCGCAACTCCCGGCAGGGGTTGGGAAGGGCTCGAGGCGTCACTCCGAGCCCAGTCTCGGCCGGATTCTGGGGAAGCTGGCCTTCTCCCCCCACTTCCCCACTCCTAAGCCACGAGTTTGGGCACGACCGAGTTAAGTGCCCTGGGATGACGCACCTGGGGTACCCCATCTGAGGTCGGGCTTCACCGCGCCTGGGCAAACCTCCTCGTCGCCTACAGTTAGAGGACTCACGATTTTATTTGCATTTATATAGACAGGTGGATAAGCAGAACAAGTAGCCCATCCCCTTTTAATTTTTTAAAAACTTTTTTTTTTTTAACTCCAACCTCCTGCCAGGCACCAGGCCAGTCATTTTATATTATCTCCTTCTCATGTACATTATTTAATCTACATAATCCTTTCAGGCTGACATTATTAATCCCATCTTACAGATGAGGAAACTGAGGTGCACAAGGTTTAAATAATTTGCCCAAGATACCACAACTAGCAGGCCTCAGAGCCTGGAAGAGATCTAGGGCTTTGGCAGAGCCTGAATCTGAGCTACTTGCAATATACCAGCCGGCTCCTCTCCCTCCCTGGGTCCCTGCCCTAGAAAACGTCTGTGCTATTTGGCCGAGGCCACCACTGCTTGAGCTGAGAGAGAAAAGAGGGGAAATGTGGCCAAAAGCTCCCCAGGCTGGGTTATTCCAAGGTCGCAGAGCAGTCTCTGCCCATCCTTTCCTGCTCGCTTTGAGATAACCTGGCAGAACAATATTATCCTGTGACCTCTTCAACACTGGTTTGGGGATAATGACAAAAACGAGCACCGAACACTGCAGAGCATGTTCTCTGAGCCAGGAGTGGTTCTCAGCTCTTTCCGTGTGTTAAATTATTTCATCCTAACCACAAACCCTGTAAGGTGGATACAATTTTCCTTTAGGGATCTTTCATGTATCACTATCTATGGAGGAGGAAACTGAGGCCCAGAGAAGTTAAGTAACATTCGTAAAGTAACTCACTAGGTGACAAGTCAACCAGCAAACCTGCGTTCAAAACCCTGCAGTACTATTTTATACTTTGCCACCTTAGACAAGTTACTTAATTCTCAGAGCCTCAATTTACCCCTCTGTAAAATGGAGATAATATTCAACTAGTGGGATAAGGTACTGTTTGGGCACCTGTACAAACAGTGCAAAAACCAGAAACTCAGGGAAGAATGTGCAGTCCTAAAAGTTGAGCCGGGGGCTTCCCTGGTGGCGCAGTGGGTGAGAGTCCGCCTGCCGATGCAGGGGACATGGGTTCGTGCCCCGGTCAGGGAGGATCCCACATGCCGCGGAGCAGCTGTGCCAGCGAGCCATGGCCGTTGAGCTTGCGCATCCGGAGCCTGCGCTCTGCAACGGGAGAGCCCACAGCGGTGAGAGGCCGGGAGATAAGTCCAGTTGGCCCCCTCTTGGAATGGGAACTGCCCCCCACAGGGAGCAAAGACTCCTAGGGGCCACCCTGGGGTGGCCCCAACTAGCAGCATCAGCCACAGTTGGGAAAACAATACTTCTTCAGTCAGACCTAGGCAGGAAGTGAGTCACGGTTCTTCCTAAGTCTGTGAGCAAGAGATCCCTATTTAGGGGAAATAGGGACAGGGCTGGTTCCATCTAGCCTCGGAGTCCCCCAGTGCCCTTCCCCCTTGTCCTCAGACTTACAAGAAAGGTCAACCCGGAAAGAAAGCAATCCTGTCTGCCTCTAGGTGCCCCACCCATCCTGGAGGCTGGCCCCAGGGGAGCCTCAGTGGATCTGAGGGGGAGGAGGGGCTAGCCCTGTCTCAGACGGCTGCCACCCAGCAGAGGCACTGGAGCTTCCCAGTTTCTTCCGCCAGCCTGCCCCTCCAATCCTGCCTTTGGCATAAGGAGAATTCTTTCAGCTGTTGCTCAGAGGTGCATCACTGAGGGGAGGAGAGAGGAGAGGACCGAGAGAGTGAGCCCTTGCCCCGGAGGATCTCCACCTTAGTCTTGCTCCTATTTTAGGGTTTCCCATACAACTGTACTTTATAACGATTCGGTTGTTAAAAAGAATGTGGAGGGAATTCCCAGGTGGTCCCGTGGTTAAGACTCTGTGCTTCCACTGCAGGGGGCAAGGGTTCAATCCCTGGTCAGGGAGCTAAGATCCCTCATGCCATGCGGCGTGGCCAAAAAAACCCAAAAAAAAACAAAAGAGAAAAAGAATGTGGAAGACACCCTCCTTGCGAAAAGCCCTCTGGAGAGAATCCCAGCTTGCCACAGCTGGTGACTGCTAGCCAACTTCTTTCTTTTTCTCCTGGAACAAGTCCTGTGGGCAGGTTTTGTTCTCTTTATCACTCCCAACAATTTGTCTGAGGCCTTAAAAGCCAGAAGGAACTAAACTGCCTGCAGAGCCCAGGTCCACTGGCTTGGGGACCTAAGAGCCCAGGGGCCTCTGGATCACAGTTATCAGTTTTACACAGCAGTTAATAGGACAGGAGGCACCACGTGACAGAAGTCTAGCAACAGACTTGTTGTGGGGCGACCTGTGGGGTGGAGCAGGGCCTGATGGGTAAGGCCTGAGGGAGGAACGGGCTGTGACCAGTTCCCACCTTCCCAGCAGGGGGCCAGAGGAGCTGTCTAGCCAGACAGGCCTCTCTTTATCCTTGGATTTGGGGCTAACCTGGGAGACTCCCAAGAGCAACAGTTGTCCTATGGTAAAATCCACCCAGTCACCCTTACCTCAGGCACTCCCACTGTCCCCTTGGAGTGCTCCGGGGGACCGTTTCTCTCAAAATCTCTGCCCCACTCTCAGGCACCTCAAACAAAGCCTTCGCAGCAGCACCCACACCTGGGCTTTTTCTTTTTTCTTCTTTTTTTTGGCTGCACCACTCGGCATGCAGGATCTTAGTTCCCGACCAGGGATCGGACCCACGACCCCTGCAGTGGAAGCGCAGAGTCTTAACCACTGGACTGCCAGGGAAGTCCCCCCACACCTGGTTTTAATCAAAATGTCTGCACCACATCCACACATGCATAGAAGAGCAGACAACAAAACTTAATTGGTATTTTCTCTAAAAGGGTGGGATTTGAGAGCTTTTTGTTGTCTTTTTGCTTACCTGCATTTTCAGGAATTTCTACAATAACTTTTAGAATAAGATAATTAAAATTTTAAGTCATGCAAAACTGAATAAAGCATGCCCATACTTCACCATCTAGCTCCAGAACAGCTGGGGTCCCTCCTGAACGCTGATGGGGCAACAGTCAGCCTCCTCCTATCCCATCACTGGGCGGGGCCCTTCCAGTTCTGGCTAAACCACTTTGGGAAAACCTCCTTTATAGGACAGGAAAACAGGGTGTCTGTGTAGGTGGGGGGAGGAGCTAGAAGTGATGTGGTGGTGATGTATCTGGTCACACTGGGACAGGATTGCAGCACGGTCAGCCCTTCTCATGTTCCCAATTACTGGGCTAGCTCCGCACTTACCTTTCACCTGCTGGCTCTGCCACCTCCCCAAGTCACTGGTCAGCTTAATGTTTCCCTTCTGCTGGCTCTGTGTCTTCTGCCTTGCCTTCAGTGCCCAGGCAGTGCTACCCACAATTGGGCACCAAATAGGTGTTTTGGGTGCAGTCTAGTCTGGCAGACATTCATTGGGCACCTTCTGAATGCTGGGCCCTGGGACCTCAAGCTGAGTCCCTTAGAACTTGCCCTCAGGAAGCCAGCGACCACCTCTGGGAGACAGGAGGTACCTGAGACATGACAGTATCTTCCTGAAGCTTCACCCTCCCTTCTGGCCTTGTAGCTCCAACAAGCTCTGCCCTTCCTTCTCCCTCTTGATACAAAAAAGTAAAACAGTTAACATGACTTCTTGTTGAATTTTCCTATCAGTTTTGTTACTGGAACAGGATTTTGCAACCTCACACTATTGCCATCTTGGGCCAGGTTATTCTTGTTCTGGGAACTGTCCTTTGCATGGTAGGATGTTTAGCAACATCCCTGGTCTCTAAACACGAGGGGCCAGTCGCACCTCACCCCCATTATGACAACCAAAAGTGTCCCCAGACATTGCCATACGTCCCCTGGAGGGGGGCGTGTAAAATTGCCCCCGGCTGAGAACCACTGGTCCAGAGTGAGGGCTGGGAGTGGTGCAGGAGACGGTAGGTGTGCCGGGATTTCAGGCATCAGGGGTTGTCTGCTGGGAACTATGCACTGAGACAGCAGGCAGCAAGGGAGAAAATTCCCAAACCCCAAACCGCCTGGCATGGCAATGCGACAAATGGGGCCATTTAGTGTTCAGGGCAAACAATCTTATGTATCTCCACGACGCCTGAGGACATCGGTCTCAGGAACGTTAATGATAATGCTGAATTGAGGAAAGGAACAATCACATTGATCGCACTCTGTTTACTGAGGTGGGGAAGTGAGTGAGCCAGCTTCGCGTTAAATATGTATTTAGAAAGATCAGTGGTGGCTGGGGGCAGAGGGGCGGGGCAGGAGGAAACTCTGGGGAGTGATGGATATGTTCATTATCCTGATTGTGGTGATGATTCCATGGGTACACACAAACGTCAAAATGGATCAAGTTGTACGTTTTAAATATGTGCAGTTTGTAGCGTGTCAATTATA